ACTAAATGCCAAGGTGCATGGGACCCTGTTACCTTCCCACTATTTATCTACTTGCAATTTCTTGCTTTCAAACTGCTAGGTTGGCAGGAGCTGGGGCCAAAGACGGGAGCTCACTCCTGTCACGTGGCACTCAGGTCCCAAACTGTCAAACTACAGACCAGAAGGTCTGCAGCTCAGCATCTTAACCTCTGAGTCACTTCGGTCCCTTCTAACTATACGTGTATAATTTTATATCTACCTAAAAACTGAAGGCAATGTTTTACACATGTGACCACAAAAATCTAAATTGTTAGACTTCAAAGTGCCATAAGACCCTTGATGTAAGTTGCAGCATTAATATAGCTCTCTTCAATATTCATAGCTTTCATGCACAGGGGAAGGTTGCTTTCAGCTCTCAGGGACCTGCTCTGTATTACAGTGTACAAGCTGGGCACTGTAAGAATAACTGAGAAAGGATTTGCTGCATCTTTTTTCAGTTGTATAATTATTTGAATTTTCTATAATACCCAAAAAAGCCTTGTTTCCAGCTGGAGCTTTGCGAGAAGCTGAAGGATTGCATGCAAGATAATACCAAGGTATGAACAAAGGGATACTATTTTGATTATTTTAAAACTAGTCTCTTCAGATTCAGTCAGTAATCTTACTATGCACAAAAGAATATAGCTGTTGTTAAATCTTTATCATCAGTGTGGGAATCAATACTGTTACTTCTCTTGCCAATATTTTTACTACAGTTTTATGAAAATAAACACCAGTGCTTCTGTCTGCCATAATAGCAAGGCCAAACTCAGAAAATTAGGCATAAAGACTTTCTAATGAAATGGAAAACGGGAGAGGGAAATCAAATAATTACATTTTGAATGTGACCACAAATAAACAAACTGCTCTGGCCCTTGCATCTCAGAATGAAAGCACTCCATATTTGTATAAAGGAGGGACAACATTATAAACAAACCACTGATCTGTAGCAGCAAAACCTAGTTAATAACCTTCTTCCCAGATCCCAATTAAAGGTAAAGGTAAAGGTTCCCTTGCTCGAAAGCCAGTCGAATCCGACTCTAGGGTTGCGGTGCTCATCTCTGTTTCAAAGCCGAAGAGCCAGCGCTGTCTGAAGACGTTTCCGTGGTCATGTGGCCGGCATGACTAAACACCAAGGCGCACAGAACGTTGTTACCTTCCCACCAAAGTGGTACCTATTTATCTACTTGCAATTTCTTGCTTTCGAACTGCTAGGTTGGCAGGAGTTGGAACTAGACGGGAGCTCATTCCATCATGCGGCACCTGGGTCTCGAACTGCTGAACTACCGACCTTCCACAGCCTGCAGTTCAGCGTCTTAACCACTTGAGCCACCGCAGCTCCTAGATCCTAATTTGGGTAGCCTTAAAACTGCTGTTCTGGAGATCTTACAGCTCAGAATGCTGGGCAAACCCACTCGTCTCAAATATCAGCACAAGTGATGTCTGTGCCTCACCTTTTACGTCCTGCACATCAAACAGCTGTGCTAAAAGAGACTAGCAGCTTGCCCTCCTCCCAGGTTGGTTAGCCTTAGAGTTCAGGGATTCTGCCCTACCCAAAGGAGTTTCCTCACCAATTCCCCTAAACCCTAAAATGCTGGCTTAGGCAAAACTTTCCTCAATTTATAGATCTCTCAGGATGCTTTCCAATAGCCCCTACACACACTTTCCCATAATCTGTACGGTCCCTGAACAAGAGAAATGTTAAGATTTTCCAACTAACGGAAAAAGGAAAAAAATCATAATTACATTTTGAATGTTGCCACACATACACAAACTGCTCTTGTGCCTCTTATCTGTAATTCCCTATCCTTGTGGAAGTTGGCCTGTGTTGAAAGACAAGGGCAGTCAATTTTGCAGAGACACATAAAGATTTCTGCTAACATTGAGCAGTGAAGCATTTACATACTGTAGAACTGAAATAAATCTATAAAAACAAGCCTGAACTGATTGCTGAAGCATTCACAATGCTTATTCAACCAAATACACTGCACACATGTACAGTTATACTGTTGAAGTTCTTGTTCAGAACTTCAAATTTTACATTTCAAATCTAAAAGTACATTCATTTCATTGTTGGCTTGAAGGAGATTTTAATGTCCAGTAACACCTTAATGACTAGAAAATTTGTGGCGCGGTATGAGATTTCATAAGTTTCAGCACACTTCTTCAGATAATGTACAGGTTTCTGTTCTTCTGAACACACAATAACTTTAGTTATTTCAGGGTTGCAAATGCTACTTTTTGGGGAACTCCTTAAAACTGCATTTTTTTGTTAAAACAAGTTTTAAAGGGAAAAAAATTGTTTAGAAAGAATATTTTTTTTAAAATGGGGAAATGGGCTGTAATCATAGGAAAACAAGGTGGGTGCCTCCTGACACTGACCCTCCCAATGCCACCTTCTGTCCCCAACCATGGAGAAATGAGGTAAGCCATTACAAGGCCACCCCACGAATTCCCACATCGGCAAGGCGGTGAGTCAATAGATGCAGTCGACCACCGCTCTAAGAGCAAGTACTATTAGCAGTGCCAACCAGGCCCATAGCTAACATGGGGCCCAGGGGCCCGACCCCCCACTATTTTTGTGGGGGGGGCGATCCTCAGCTCCCCCTCCCTCCCCTCTGGCCCCCTCACCCCCTGATTGATCTGAGTCGGCATCTCCCCGTTTCAGCTCATTTGCGATGAGCTGAGTCTCTTTAGGACCCAGCAGCAACTGGTGGTTGGCTGAGTCACACACACATTGGTTGGATTGCAGCAGTTAGCTCCCCCTGTTGGATTTTCTGCTTCAGGCTCATTGGCTCAGGGAAGTAGTGAGGGAGGAGTAATGCCAATAAGGGTCTGTCTCTCTCTCTCTCTGTGTGTGTGTGTGTGTGTGTGTGTGGGAGGGAGGGAGGGAGGGAGGGAGGAAACACGGCAGCTTTTCTAGACCTTTTAGTGTCTATTAACATTAGGATTCTGGCTTACCTCAGAGGAAAGCTCTAGTGGGGGTTGTGTGGGTGCATGCCAGGCAGACCCCCCTTGCCCTGGAGCCTTTGATGTAATCAGCTGGTGGGGCCCCCCCAAGGCCCCCTCCCCCAAAAATCCCTAGCTATGGGGCTGGCGCCAACCCATATCAATCCAGCTGCCTACTGAGGGCAACCAGCGCCGTCTCCGTCCTGTGGTGGAAGCCAGATTGGAATGGATCCAACACCAATGTGTCATCCAGTAATTTCTGGAGTTGTTCGGCCACTGCTCTCTCAATTACCCAAAAATGGAAGATTGGAAACTGGGAGATAATTGGACAGATCCATAGGGTCTGCGTTCAGTTTTTTCAACAGCAGGGTAACCACTGCCTCCTCCGGTCCCACTGGAAAAGTCCCTGTACCCAGGGACAAATTAGTGATATCTTCCAGGGGACCTTGTAGCCCCTCACCTCTGGCTTTCACCAGCCATGAGGGGCACAAATCAAGGAGACAGGTGGTTGACCTCACAGCACCCAGAATCCTGTTACCATCAGCTTGGGAGAGCTGGCTGAAGGTATCTAAACAGCCAAGGGCCTCCAGTTCACAAACTGTATCAATGTTGGCTGGGAGGTCACGGTAGAGCAACAAGACTTTATCTGCAAAAAAGCTCGCAAATGCCTCACAGCTTACAGTTGAATAAAATAATAATAATTAGTATATTATTTTTTATTATTTCCAACTATTATTATTATTATTCTGGGTCCTCTCTGAGAGGGATGTAAGAGACCAAATTATCCTAAATAACTGAGCCGGGCGAGAGCTAGCAGATGCAATGGTGGCCACATAAAACTCTTTTTTAGCAGCCTTCACCACCATCTCATAAGATTTCATAAACATCCTATAAGATGCTCTTTTAGCTTTGTTGCGAACTCATTGCCAAATATACTCCAGTCGTCTGAGTTCCTGTTTCATCGTATACAAGGGGCATGTTTTCTGCCAGCGACAGAGAGGACGTGGCAGGGGGAGGGTGATTTCATCAATGGTTTCAAAGACCCGGGAGTTCCAGTTCTCTATCAGCTCATCTAAGGAATTGCTAGAGGGCATTGGCTCCCACAGAGCATTCTGGAATCCAACTGGATCCATTAGTCTTTGCAGGTGAGCATAAATCCACTCCTCACCTAGATGGTGGTCAGGGACACCCAGCCGGATCCTCGGGGTGCAATGATCTTATCACGACACCAACATCTTGGCCACCAGATCCATATCAACCCCCATACTGAAGACCAAATACAGCATGTAGCCTGCTTGATGCATGGAACCTGATACAATCTGGGTGAGTCCCTGGATGACACCAGGTCCACAGCCTGCTGTGATGAGGCAACATCAGCATGGACATTAAAGTCCCCAAGGATTATAAGCCTAGGGAACTCCAAGGCCCAGCTGGCTGCCACCTCAAGCAGGCTGAGGAGGCTGTCTGCTGGGGCACTAGGTGTACAGTACACCAGAAAGACAGCCAAATGCACCCTAGGCCAACACAATCAATGCCGGTGATCTTTGGGGCGGGGAGCACCCTGAAGGAAAAACTCTCTCGGATGAGTATTGCCCACCCTCCACTGCGCCCCACTGTTTGAGACTGATGGAGGACCAAGAAACCTGGAAGAGACCGTTCTTTTAAGGTGACCATTTCGCTTTCCCTTGTCCAGGTCTCGGTCACGCATGCCAGGTCCACTTTTTGTGCCGCAATATAAAGTCGTAGTGAAGAGGTCTTATTATTGATGGACCTGGCATTACACAGCAGCAATGTTGAAGGGGGGTAAAAATTCCTAGTCCTCACACCCACATCTTGGGATGGGACATAGGATGGAAGGGAACCAAGCAGAAGGCTGCAGCTGGAGAAATAAATCTGTTTACATACTCCCCTCCCCCCGTTCAAAGTCCACTTTGCATCCAACTCTGTGTCAAAAACAAATCTCGAGAAAATGAGTTGGTACATTCTGATTCAAAACTGAAGAGTAACAAAACAAGCATAATAAAAGAACCTACCTTTTGCTGTTTTTGATGGGATTCTGATCACAGTAGGCTTCCGCACTATAGCTGGTTGGATTACCTGTTCTTTTGCGGGTTCTTTTTTGGAGGGCAAATTTAAAAGATCTAACGAAAATACAAAATTCAGCATATTATCTTCAATTCAAGACACATAGATTTATTAAAGTATATAATGTATACTATACACACACTACATTATATTGTATTATGTTGAGTATTACAGGATATCGTATATATGTTATAGGAAACATTGCTTCTTCTAACGACAAAATCTATACGACAAAAATATGAAAAATACCTCTACTGTACATTTGTTTTGTAAAACGCCATTTAGGGTATCAGACACTCTATCCTTCATTTTTGAATGTTTGCTGAATTTAGTATCATTTATTCCATGCAATTCTCTTTGCACTAAATCAATGCTTTAATAGTGGAGAACTGAAGATACAAATTACGCAACCTCTGCTGTAATCAAGGAAGAATTAGTCACAGTAGAATGCACTCAGCCATAATAGTGCGATCATGGGAAGAATCTGAGTGTTTCACCAGGATCATAACTGTTGTTTGCACATAAAGAAGGCTTCTGCAGAACGGGGCAGGTCAGCTACTTGCCCATTTCCACTGTTCTACCCATCAAAGTCCTGAGATGAAAAAGAATGCTGCCAGCCAGTAACCTCTCTGCATTACTCACTTTTCAGTAATTTCAAACAGCACAATGTATTGTATAGATAGCCCTACCGAACTAATCATTTGTGTTGTATGCAATGGCTGAACGCTTTTTAAACAGTAGTTGAGGGACACTGAGCAAAATGCATAAAACATGACAGTAAAACTTAATATACTCACTAAATTAGGGATCTGCAGTCTACAGATCTAGAACCAGATGTGGCTCAACACAGAAACAAATACGTTTCTTTTTAAAAAGACTAAGAAATCTTTACACTAAGCTATATTGGAGGGATTGGTGGGATGCTAGTATAAAAATGTTTAAACCGAATGGCATTAGAATCTTTTATGGAAAAGACTGTATTCTTAGAAATATTTTGCAGAGAGGGAAACCACAGAAGTAAAGAGTTGCCAGTAACCCAAGAGAAAATCATGCACAGGTTTAAGACTGTGCACTAAAACAGTTGTGCAGGGTGCTCTTGTGTGTATTTATCACTTATTGCGAGACCCTGGAGGAAGTGACCACATGCCGAATGCCAAGTAGGACTGAAGGTTAATGGTTTATGATCAATGGTTGGGTTTGAATCTAATTAATTTATATTCTGAATGTTTTTATCTGAACTGTACGTTGGATATGATGTACATCACTCTGAGCCCTCTGGGGGAGGGAAATTTAGAAATTTAAATTAACAGCAGCAACAACAACGATAATAAAGGACTTGCAACAACAAATGCTTGGGCTATGTAAACTCTGTGGATTATTAAATGACATTATCAATTATCAGTAATACCAAGTTGTATATTGTATAATTAATCTCCATTCCAGAAAACAAACCTGCAAGGGGATCATCAGTGTCAGTCAGAGTTCTCTGCTTATTGTCTACAATAATTTGATACATTTTGGGGGATTTTGAAGGCTGGAAGCTCCTACCCTTGTTTACAAAAGAGTACATACATTATTATGTGCGTTTTACTTTGTCAGCCACCTTGATGGCCCTTGTGAGGGCTGAAAGGTGGGGTATACATTTTGTAAAATAAACATACATTTTGTAGGGAAGGGAAAGAGCAGGCAGGATGCATGCAGCTAATATTTTTTCTTTATGACATTTGTTTAAAGTGGAATTCTCCCTCAAAGACATTACTACTCTTCCTTTACCTATTAAGGCACTTGGCAAACTTGTCCCACAAACCCACAGACAAGAGGGTAACATCTTACAGAGTGTTCAGCTGATTTCTATTTCAGCACCACTATCTAGATGCACTTGGGATCCCTCCCATATTGTGCAGTTGCCCAAATTATTTGCACACAGAGAGATAGCAACCTGGTTATGCAACGTATCTGCCAAGGTAGGAGGACTGGGATACACACATGCTTTTTAGGAGTGGGGTTATTTGATTGAAAAGCCCCCAAATACAGATACAAACATTCTTGTGGCAAGATTATTCTGTTTTTCGGAGGCAGTAGAGTCTCATGATTCCTTCTAATGTATATTTGCTTAAAACAACCCCAGTTCTTATTACTCTTTGCTGTAATGATCTGAGTCAGTTCTGACAACAAAACAGTGCTGGAAATGTTTGTTTGAAATTTTGCAATCCTACACGTTTATACTGTTTTGTCTAGCTGAGTACTTGCTTAGAAATATTACAAACATCTGAGAGGAAAACCCAAATAGAAAGAGCTGACTTCTCTTTTTATACCAAGCAGTGCAGCTGCACATTATATTCAGCTTGGCTATCTACATTAGATAAAACTATCATGTCTCCAACTCAGTTACATAGAAACAAAGCACAAATGTTTCTGTCCCACAAAATACAAAGACAACCAATACTGAATATATTTTTCCTAAGAAGTTGATTGGAGGGAAGGTGGCATTGTATAGCCCTCCCTCATCCGATCTTGGAAGCTAAGCAGAGTCAGTACTTGGAAGGGAGACAACCAAGGAAGACTCAGCAGAGGAAGGCAATGGCAAACTACCTCTGCTTCTCATTTACCCTGAAAGCCCCTTGCTGGGGTCGCCATACGTCAGTTGTGACTTGACTGCACATACACAGATTAAAAAAAATATATTTATATTCAGCAATGCCATCAAAACTAAAAATCACTAGTACTCAGTGGCACAGCACATGCTTTGCATGCATAAGTCCTCAGGCACAATCTTTGCCAGGTTAGAAGCATCATCCTCCCATGGCAAGGTTAGGAATATCAATGAAGGGAGAAGCTGCCAGACACAGCAGACAACAGTTTAAAGTGATTAGGTGGACCCACATTTTCCTAGGGCAGGTCCTTCGAGGAAGATAGTGAGTCAAAGGTTAATGTACAGGTATGAAGGTAAGAAGAAATGCCTTTTAAAATCCCTTGCCTTTGTTTCCTGACCTGCTGGTTCAAGATTACTTTACAGAGAGGCCAGATATCCATATACTAAGAAGAGTGGCTTCAAAGCAAGCCATAACTTCAACCAGAGATCACTGTCTGGAATAGTCAAGAGCTCCTGCTCAGAAAGATCTAGTGCCTCAGAAAACTAGACTGCTGTCTTCTCAAGAGACAGCCAGAGGCTCCACCCCTCTTCTTGTTCCACTTCCTGTTGCTGATCTTCTTCCCCTATCAGCTATCATTTGAACCCCTGGCCTCCAAACTGGGTAGATATAGATATTCTGAAGCTCAGTGAGCTTTTTGCTGGGCTTTCTGCTTTAAGTACAGTGAGAATCTTCTAAGTACTTCACATCATGGGGTCCTTCCCACGCTCAGTTGATGAAGAGCTGGCAACCCTGCTTGATGACAGGAAAGAAAGGGATCACGGAGACCAAGTAACTGAAAAGTGATCACATACGTGCAACTGAGGAGAGAGAAGAAAGAGTAAGGGGAAAGTTTCATGCAGTGCTTAGATTAGAGCGCCAGAGGCAAGAGGAAGGTTCAAAACTAAGGAAATGTGGAGACAGAAGGCAGGGATGGCAAACCAGTGGGATGGTGCTGAATTTCACATATTTGAATATTTGGCTGCAATAAGTTCTATAGTAGGGAGTTGCCAACCCTTTTCACCCTGTGGGCACCCTTGGGATTCTAACACAGGATGATGGGCGTAACCACAAAATAGTTGCCACAGGAGGTAGAACCACACATAGTGGAAGCTCAGGTGAAGGAGAGTTTCGAGAGAGTTTGAAGTCAATGGGTGAGGGGCACATAATTTTTCTTTTTATTTAAGGGAAAAAACCCAGAATTTGAGTGGGAAATATAGGTAGCACTGCCAGTTTGGATATTAACTTTTTAAAATACTGAACTTTTAAAAATGTATAATCATTAAATATATTACAGCTTATTAATCATTGCAAAATTATTATATTTAAACAAAAAATATTGACAATATTGTATATATCCACAGTACAGGAGGGTGTTTTCCCCCCAGTGCTCCCAAAATTTTCAGTTCATGCTGTACATTGGGTATGAGTAAAATGCTTTGTTAGACAAGCTTTTCCCTCACTTAATAAGATGTATTTCACATTTTAGAAGAGACACTCTCATAGGAGTTTCTTCTCAGTATTATCCCAAATTATCCACCCATGTAAGGGTGCAGAGGCAACTTAATAATTCAGTTTCTCAAACTCTTCATGGGTCAGAGCAAGCAAGACCTGTGCGGAAAGCAGGGGTCATTTCGTAGAAAAAGAGCTAGGGGAACTCATTAGCATAACTTATTAGCATATGCCACACACCCTGACATCACCGGAAGTGTGTCATAAGGCCACACCCCCTGACATCACCAGAAGTGTGTCATAAGGCCACACACCCCGCCCCCAACGGTCCTGGCCGCCAGCGGCGGCCTTGCAGCTTCACTGCCAAGCCCATGAGGGGCCCGGCGGTGGACCTGCAAGGCCGGCGGGAGTGCAAGGAAGCCCCGCGAAGGCCCTCCCTGGCCCCAGGCAGGCAGGTGTGGGGAGAGGCAGGGAGGAAGCAACTTACCCTCCCTCTTCTCCTGCCTCCTCCTGGCTGAATGAGGGCCGGAAGTGGGGCGGCCGGAAGCAGGGGGCGGGGCTTCGTCATGTGCCCCACCCCCGTACCTCACCTGGGGGAACTGCAATCCCCCGCGATCCCCCCTGAAATGACCTCTAGCGGAAAGACTACAGGATATAAGCACATGACAAATTTTGCCCTACAACCAGTCACACCAATCCAACGCAATTAGTGAGAAAGCGATAAATGCTTTTTGAATTTCACAAACACATTCCATTCCTATTTATGACAGTGTTTGGAGTCTCTCTTGCATGGCTAAAATCACAAAGTATTCAGAAGACCAAGGAAGTCTCAAGAGAAAAACCAGTGCACTGGACAGCATTTATACAGTTGTATAAGTATGGGGGCCATTCATTCCACAAACACATGCAGAAGATACTGAACAAAATGTTAACTTGACAGTGTCCTTCTGAACAGACAATTCCTGCCTTTGTCATGTGTTGTAAGACTGGCTCACTCGTCAACCGACACATGCTATCACTATTTAAATTAGCACAAACATATATATCTTCACACCTCACAAATGCCAGAAGTTCTTATGCAATTAATAACTTGTGCTAAGTCAAGTCACTAGCAACAATTTACATAGTGCTTTTCTTAAATTTTCAAATCATCACACTTTCCCCCCAGTAATCTTTACAATAGTTCTGCAACACAGACAAGCTGATGGTATTCAGAGAAAGAATTTTCCAGCATGTGTTATCTGAGATGCCAGGGATCGAACATGGGACCTTTTGCATGCAAAATAAATACTTTAACTAAGCTTTAGCGTTTCTCCATGAGAGTTACTTTACTTTCCAGTTCCTCCACTGGAAATCTAGATGCCAGTCTTATTTAATTCCACATCATACACAGATGTCTAATATGCAGGCCAAAAATGAATTTGATTTCATACAGTTCTTCAATATACATACACAATTGTAAAGGTAAAGGTGAAGTTCCCTTGCTCGAAAGTCAGTCGAATCCGACTCTAGGGTGCTCATCTCCGTTTCAAAGCCGAAGAGCCAGCACTGTCCGAAGACATTTCCGTGGTCATGTGGCCGGCATGACTAAACACCAAGGCGCATGGAACGCATACAGTTCTTCAACATACATACACAATTGTAACCATCCTTAAAAACTCCTCTCTTTGTTTTTAATCTTACCTGATTCTGAATGGGCAAGTTCTGGAACAGCCCCATCTGAGTTAACTGGTGAAACGTCATCATCAAAACTGATCAGATCTCCTTCCCTAGATGGTGTGCTCTGCCGTGGAGGTGCTGAGAGGCTGCTTGCAGTTGGCTCCCCCAGAGACCTGGAAGCATTTGCCTGGGCAGCTACAGAGAGTCTGGAAGCAGAAGTGGGTGGTTGCAGTGGAATAAGAGGAGCTGCAGGACTTTCAAAAGAGATTGACTTCTTGGGTACAAGAGGCCTAGGAGCAGGAATAGGGTATTTTTTCTGTCCTTCTGTGTTCTCTGAAGTCGATCTGCCCCCTGTATTAAGTGGCCCATTGGTACTGCTTTTTACAGTGTCTGGCTTGGGTTTCTTTGGCAGTTCAGGCTTGGTTGTAATGCTGCTCCCGGCTTCCTGAGGTTGAAGGTGTCTTTCCTGGGAAACCTTAAATTTGTTTTCTGTCCATGAATCCCACTCACCTGAAGTTCTGGTCACTCCTGGCTTTGGAGCAACCACAGGTTTTATTACACTAAATATAGGCTTGTGGGCTAATGGACGTGGAGGAATTTCTGGCTGCTTTACTAGTCCTGAAGTTTCTGCATTTGCCTGTGTTTCCAAAGCTTTGGTCCGTGATACTATACTGCTTTGGCTCTTGTTTATATCCATACTGACCATCACCACATGACTATCCAATAAGCTATCATCTAGCAGGGATTCCAGCTGAACTGAGGAGGAGTTCCTTGACTGGCTTGTTTCTTCATGATTGTCTTCTGTATTATTTTGAGTTTCTTTAACAACAGGCTTCAGATTGGCTTTTGATCTTGGTTTTGGCACTGGGCATAAGGCAGCATTAGGCTTCTCCTGACATGTCTGCTCTTCCAAGACAACTAGGAGGTCCTCATTTTTGGAAGGATTGTTGTTCAGCAGAGAGGGAAATGGCCTAGGTGGAGTGCGAGGAATTTGTACAGCTGAAAAAAGAACTCAGTGAGTTAAAATGTAGTCACCTTAACAGAACACATATGTTTATGCTTCTGGTCATTCTAGCCTAACCAGACACAGCCCCTGTGGTTTCATTTACTTTACTTAGTATGATTCTGTTGCTACTGCTGCTTACAACATAACCAGTGACGCAGCTGCCATGACCATGTGAGGAGCTGGCTGACATGGCAAGAAGTTTGTAACAAACAGCTCTCCATGCAGCTGTAGCAGTTTTAGTCATGTGAAAGCAACGAACACAGAAAAGAGGATACACTGATGTAGCTAAAGTCACCAAAAATGCATGAAGAACAGTTTTGCAAAATGGCTTGCCACATACAGTGGCCCTCACACGATTATGCTACATGTGGCAGTTAAAGCACTGATTACATTTATGGACTGGGCTGCTGACAAAAATCACTGCACAACATTTTTATATCTCCCATTTTCAAAGATCAAAATGTAGTAAACACCAGAAAAAAGGCATATCACTTTTCTATTGCGTAAGAGATAAAAGATATTTTATTTATAGAAGAACTATGCGTAGGGTTGCCAGGTCTGGGTTGGAAAATACCTGGAGACTTTTGGGGTGGATCCAGGAGAGGGTGGGGTTTGGGGAGGGAAGGGGGCCTCAGCACGGTACAATGCCATAGAGCCCACCCTTCAAAGCAGCCATTTTCTCCAGGGGGAACTTTGTAAGGAAAAACAACCGTGATGTGATAACGAAACCTTGTTAGAGAAAAATATATCTTCTTTAATTATCCAGTGAATAACAAATCATAAAGGTATTTTCTTTGAAGTAAATTGGTCTCAAGTTTTTCTTTCTGACGGTACAGCGCTCAATGGACTGTTTCACTCAAGGTTTCATCAGGTGAGACCTTACACCTTTAGTATTTTTTCTACTCCCTCTTCCTTTCTAGCTTACATCATTCGGTTACATCAGTTGTAAAAGCAGGAGATCTCCAGGCCTCACCTGGAGGTTGGCAACCCTAGCTATGCATCATCACAGGGCCCTCATTACAACTGGTGTCATGTTAAGATCAAAAATTAAGTATTTCCATTTACAGTATGCTCAGAAAAATGAGGTCCCTTAGCAAGCACCGGGCTGTATCCTACCACTCCACTCAGCTATGTGCAGGACTTCCTACAATGGAAAAGACCCTTTCTGCCAGTCTGTGGTTCTACATTTAGCTGAACAGAGAGGTATGGCACAACCTATTACTATGAAATAGCCTCAACCAAAAACATTTCTCTACAGATTTACATATTATTTCAATACTATTTAATAACTTTTTACTCCCACTTCTTTAAATTTCAAGGATTGTGGACCTTGGAGATGATAGGCAAGAAGATGAAGTTTTTTGTTGTGTTTGACATTCCCTCAATGATCCGTCCTTCCTAGCCATCTTTTTATGTTTTGTATGTCTTTTAACTCTGTTTTGTAATTGTTTTAATGATTTAATGATGTGTTTGGGAGGGAGGCTGATTTTAACAGTTTTAAAATGTAATTTTATCATTTTAAAAAAATTGTTACAATAAATACACAATCATATTTTCCCATAATTCTTTTTACAGATGTGGGAAAAATCAAAATTGGGATAATTATATTATCAGGCACTTTCTGCATCGCAGAGTGTCATGGGCAAGCACAACCACGCCAGGCCCCCATCTGAGTTGGCAGCACAGTCAAAGGCGCTGGCATTGCCAGAGCCAGAAGCTGGCCCTTCTGACTCCTTGGGAGTTGACAGCTTGCCGCTGCCATCGCCCGAGCCTGTAAACCCTACACATGGTCCTGCAGCAGCCAATGAGGTACAGGTGCAACCGGGGAGCCCACCTGACTCACCCCCATGGGTGGTTCGGCTGAGAGAGTGACTCTGCAGGGACTTAGCCACCCGCTGCCAAGGCACATGCTGGCAGGGAAGGCGAGCGTTGAGTCCTGAGTACTAGCAGGAGTGGCACCAACGCCAAAGGAGACATGGCTGGAGGCCTACATAGCTCCCACTTGGGATTAGACTCTCCGTGGAAGCAACGACTCACCTCCGTGTGGACCTCACATCCACCTTCGGCTCCTGCTCGCAGACCCCCACTCTTGCTCGGATTTCTGGCTTCCTGACCTCTGCCTCAGATGACCCCTCTTTTGGACTCATGATTCGCCCCTCGCTCTGACTCTCCTGGCAACAACCTTGGACCGGACCTGACTCCTGCCTCTGAGCCAAGCACAGCCCGTGACACAGAGCCAGTTCCAAAAATCAAAGACTGGAACTTGTATGATCTAACCTTGTGCTAGTTTGAACTCACTACACAGTCCAATGCTACACTGTCTGTGAATACTCAACCTGGATAACAATTAAAAAGTTACTGGAGCTGCTGAGCGGCAACCAGGATCACAGAAATCCATGTAAAATGCTTATAAAAATGGAGAACTTTTATGCCAAATATAAATGGTTTTGAAACATCATTCAAGTACAATTAAGAGTTATGTACCTGGAGTGGTTTCACATTCACAAACAGCATGCGGATTACTTTTCTCATTAACTCCTAGCGAATTGCTGATTATCTCCTCTGGAAAGTCAGTCTGTGTCGATGATGTAGCAGTACATTTGGAATTAGCAGTGCCAACAGCATTGTTGTGACTGGTTGTACCGACTTGCACTTGATTGATCTCTTTGATTACCTGTTCATATGAAGGTGGCTGAGAAACAAAAGTGTAGATCTGATTTGGGTGCATCAGAAACACAGGACATTTACAAATGCAACGTGTCTGAAATTATTTTAAAAAATCATCTCGGCAAATCTCTTCTACATCCCAAGTGCTGATGAAAATTAATTTGGATATTCCATTAATATCAAGCGCAAACAGCAGGAAACCTTGTGACTGCTCACCTCAGCCAGAACAAGCTCATTTGTTCTCCAGGAACCTGGGATGGGAGACGGTGGGGAAACCAGCCCTTGCTGAGGGACACGGCCGCCACTCGGAAACCAGGACGACGGCCGAAGCGGCTCAGCAGCAACTATAGTGATTTCAGGGCGTCTGGAGGGGGGGGGGAATAAACAACATGAAGTCCAAGTATTTTGGGAAGTCAGGACACTTGATATTTATTCCTAGTCCTTCAGGAAAGACGTTAAGCCCTTCTAGACCAAACTGTATTTCCACCCACTTTATAAATAAAACTCAATGAACAGGAATATTCACAGCCTTCTGTTTCTGTGCTTTGATATTCTAATGGCTTATATTCTAGCACGCACACCTATAAAAATTAACAGCAGTCTCAGTGGTTCATGCAGCCTCACCCACGCCCTGCAAAGCATGGTAGAATTTTTGCAATAAACACAAAAGTTTGCCCTGAGCTGTCAGTTGGTAGGGCAGCTGGATAATTCAAGGCTTTACACAGAGGGAGTAGGGACTGAGGCATTACTTACAGACACATTTTGCAGTATACACACACATATATCCGGGTGCCCTGCAAAAAATTTTTCTTCCTTTCTAATACATCAGTCATAAGGATGGGTGTTTCATTAGTTCTCACTGAAAGAAGTCTTCAGATGTACACAAAGTATCACAGAAATGGCTCACAGTACTTGTGAATGTTCTTTGAGTTGTATTTTTTAATATATGTGTGACTGTTATATGCTACCACCACTAGCTACTTATACCTTCTCTTCCATTTCAGACATTTGGCAGTGGGGATGCTTTTATGCCCATCAATAAAAGGCAGAAGCTATGGTGTGAGAAGGAAACAAAATCCAACAAAGCTGATGGGCAGTAGGTTCAGGATGGACAAAAAGAAATATCACTTTACACAGAGAGTGATAAAAATCTGGAATTCACTACCAGAGGATGTAGTGATGGCTACAGGAATAAACAGCTTTAAAGGGGGATTAGAAAGAGTAATGGAGGATAAGTCTATCAGTGGCTACTAGCCATGGTGACTCAGGGGAACCTCCTCATTCAGAGGCACTAAGCCTCTGAATTCCATAGCCAGGAGGCAACATCGGGGAACATCAGAGGAACTGGTTGGCCACTGTGAAAGACAAGATGCTGGACTAGATGGACCATTGGTCTGATCCAGCAGGGCTTTTCTTATGTTCTAAGAAAAAAGATGCTTGTTCCCTCACTGACACCTGCTTTTCCCTCCCTCACCTAGTGGTTATGGAACCATCCTGTAGCTGAGTGCCCAAGACTGAAGAGGATACGTGCAGCCAAAATTTAACTGCCCAATAGGGATTGAGCAATAGGCAGTGGCACCAATGGAGGTCCCAGGGTTGTAACATATTTGGACGAATATCTGTCAGAGATGCTTTAGGCTGGTCCTGCATTGGGCAGGGGGTTGGACTAGATGGTCTGTATGGCCCCTTCCAACTCTGTGATTCTATGATTCTATATATCAGTGTTGAATTTGTACACACACATTAAATACAAAGTTCAAAGTGCATTCATAGCACTATTAGCTTTCAAAGTACATCTGTATGAATAATTCAAATATGGAAAAATGTGGAATATAGTTTGTAATTATATGTTAAATAACGCTGCAATTACATTTTGCTTCCCTGCATCGATACTGATAATTTAATCACAAAAAATACACAATATTTGATAAATATCACACCATTTTACTTTTAAAACACCAGTTGACATACTCCCATGTTATGTTCTGCATAAAAATGAACCAGGACATACTCTGGCTCAGGTGCTTCTTCCCCTTGTACACCACTGGGATATTCAACACTTTCTTCATTAGAAATAACCACAATTTGTGAACTGAGCATTGGAACTGAGCACTTAAACCAACTGCAATTTATATCTTGCCTAAAAATCAGACTGCTAAACCTGAATTCAACCATACTTTAGAATACTGGTTTTCAGGCAAGAAACAATCCACTAATTGCTTAAGTACTCAACTTGGACATCACAAAAATTGTGATGAGTTCTAGATCAGGATATATATCAATGTGGTATGTTAAAGGGTGGCGGTGGAAAGAAAGACAGAGTATGTAAGGCTGAGAACTTCCTGGATTTCTTTCTTGTCAAAAATTACAATCATTGTTCAATAGATGATTTCTGTCCATAGAGTGTAACTTCCTTGCTTCCTCCTGCAGCCCCAAATCCTGCTCCCCAAATGATGCTCCTGGGGAACAAAGGACCCCAGGGAACAATATGAGGGGAGAGTCTGACATCTGCTGCAAGAGGGGGTAAATTAGTGAAAACCACTCTCCTAACAAGCCATGGAAATCCACTGAATCCAAGCCATTGTTTGTACATGATGCCTGAATACAGCTAACAACTAAAAAAATTAGGAATTTATAAGCAATGAATAAACAATTCAAAATCCTCAAGTACTATGATTAAAATTAATATAAAGACAAGGCTGCCAACTCCAGGTGGAGAAATTCCTGGAGATTTGGGGGTGGAGCCTGGGGAGAGTGGGGTTTAGGGAGGGGAGGGACCTCAGCATGGTATAATGCCATAAAGCTGACCTTACTAAGCAGCCATTTTCTCCAGGAGAACGGATCTCTGTAGTCTGGAGATCAGTTGTAGTTCCAGGAGATCTCCAGACCCCCACCTGGAGGTTTGCAACTCTAATGATAGGTTCATCAGCAGCTACTAGCTATGGTAATTTAAGAGAACTTCTGAATATCAGTTCTAGGAAACAGCATCATTGGCCTCACTACACTGTTTGTTGGCCCTCCAGGGCAACTGGTTGGCTGCTTTGTGGAACTGATCTGATTTAGCAGAAGTCTTATGTTTTCTGCAAGTGTGGGAGCTTCTTGGAGCTACTGGTAGAAAATGGAAGGCAGGGGACCTTGTCCAGTTTCTGCTCACCCCATGCCTGCCTCTTGGCACCTTCATGGAAAGAGGCATAGGCTTTGATCCATAAGGTGGGAAGAGCTGCTCTGCTGCTAGGGTGGAAGAGCCAGAAACCAACCTTAATGTACACCATTCACCATCTTATAGTTGTAGACCTTCCAGCTTTGCAGAGCCACATCTAAGATTCTCTTAGCTTAGTTTAAAAAGAATTTTTTTAAAAAGAAACACACAAATGTACACCCACACCCACAGGAACAGTCAAGCAAGATATCCACAATCAGATAAATCTCTTCATGTGCCAGGCCCCCCGAATAAGGATCTGAGGTCTCTCCTTAACTTGAAGTTTTCCTGTCTATGATGCAAAGGGAGGGGGGGATTTAAGTCATAGCACAGCCCCTGAGGAATTTCTTCCCAAATCGGTGGGAAAGAAAATGGCTTGATTAATCCAAACACATAACATTGTTATATCAAAAGACCTGAACAAATTTATTAACAAACATTGTGACTCAGATCAGAACCAGGATAAAATGTCTGGCACATCCCTACTAATTACCTAATGAATAAATGAAACAGCAATGATCACAGATCATACCTTCTCTCTCTTTGCTGTTCACCATAGCCAGAAGTACGGGAAGCTAATTTTTAAAAAGAAGAAATAAGCAGTTAATTGGAACAAGCACTAATGCAATATTTCAGTTCTCATATTCTTAACAAATAATTTAAAGTGTCTGATTGTATTTGACACTTGATCATTAGCAAAATAATTCACTCATATGAGTAACGATCATTTAAAACACAGGAAGTTTCTCAAACCTACCTTGGCCTTTGAAAGTGATTTCCCAATAGCTCAGCAAAGCAGTGATTGTAACAACATTAAAATATAGGTGATACTCAAACAACAGATTATTTAAAATATTGGTCTGCATCTAAAGATGCCCTTCCATTGATTTTTTTTTGGGGGGTCCATCTGTGAGTAGAAGGGCACCCTTGGATTTGATCCAACACAGAGAATCCCTAATGCAAAACTCTGGTGCTCTGCATTTCTTGCAAAATCCTTAGACCCTACCCCCTTCAATTCAAAAGAGGAAGAGGAGCAGCTTACACTGCGTGCTCAGAAACAGAGCCATTTCTACCACTGGAATTAATGAGGCAACCCATGAAGTTGGGGGGGGGGTATCATTATGTATTCACAGTTCCTAAAATAAAATAAATAGAAATGCTTACTTTTTAATCCAGCCTAGTATTTTTTTTTTTGGGGGGGAGGAATTATCTGCTTCTTCCTTCCAACAGCTCTGAGGGTCAAAACCCCAGGAGAGCCCAGGAGCAGGCAGGCGGCTGTGAGCCATGCTGTGATTCTGAGCTCAGCCCTAATGCTCCTCAGGCACTACTGCAGATGTTAAATGATGCTGATATTAGGCATTTTATTAAAGCAAAATGAGTCCACTACAGCTTCGGCTCAGTGTATTTTTTATTAGCGTTATTAACAATTTTATTTGAATGTAACCTTTCTAATTTGTCTTCTATAATTAAAAAGAATAAGTAATTAACCAGGAGGAACATTTGCATAGCATATGATTTAGGAAGTCTAATTTTCTTGTGCAAGAAGCAAAGTGCCACAATTATGCCATTGCAGATTCATAGTCGAAGTCAGTAAAAGCACCAGCAGGGGAAGAATGGCTCAAACATACCTCTTCCACGGGGCATATTTGAAGTGCACTATTCATGAGTGCTGAGGGGAAAAAAGAAGGGGTTATGGCAAAGGAAGAGGAAAGGGGGGGGGAAGATGGTGAAAAGGAACAACCCATGCTTCTAGTAAAGGTCACTGGATTTCTGTTGTTACTCGCACAAGAAGAGAATAGTATTTTTTTCTCCACAAGGAATACTCTAGCAACTGTTTAAAATGCCTGTCTTAAAAATGGAACAAATTTTAATGTCGGTTTTGTGTGTTTAGAACAGCAGCTTGATCAGGATTTTAACAACAAAGTTCAATAGCCCACATTCTCCTTGACCCACTTTTGCCAAAGGAATAGTTATCTTAAACCATCTCATGCTACTGTGTTTAAGCAGGAATTCGTTTCTGCTACTCATGCTAATAGGTAGGTTTTTGCAACCCAGTGTATGCACACAAATCATGTTTAAAATTTATCTCCAATGACAGCAAATTCAGCCTGAAGGGCTTGGTTTTGCAGTTATTCTTTTTGATGTCATTTTCTATGATGAGAAAGATAATTAGGGGCTTCAGCAAAGGTTAGAACATTTTAATATCTTAAACTGGATGATGTCAAACACAAATCTACGGAACCTTAATTTCCATGGGAGTAGAATCTGGTCATGCTGGCACATGATTCTGCCACTTCCAATGTCAGGGATAAATTCAAGACTGTTCATAGCAATGTTTTGATTATTCTTGAGATAAAAAACCTAGATATGTTCTCTGACTTCAATGCAGTAAGACAACTAATATGAAAACCTTAATTCTTTAAGATGAGTCAAATTTATGGAGGATAGGTCTATCAATCAGCTACGGCAACTAGGGATGGACCTGAACCATGAACCAAAGCATTTATCTTCATGAGCCATAAAACCCTGCTTTCTGCTCCCTGTGAAAGCAGTGGGAACAGAAAGCATGGGTTTAAATGGCTCTGGGCCATTTAAACCCTTCAGTTCTGCTCCCCACCATTTTGAGGTGGCAAGGAGCAGAACCAGATGATAAAAAAGCTCCATTTAACCCTCTGGTCCTGCTCCCCCCCCCCTCAAAGGAGTGGGGAGCAAGACTGAGGTTTAAATGGCTCGCAGCCATTTAACCCTCTGGTTTTGCTCCCTGCCTCTTTGAAGGGGAAGAAGCAAAACCAGAGGGTTAAAGGGGCAGCCTGTTGAAAAGGACTGCACGAGGGAGCCTGAGACAGCTGGTCCAGCAGGGAGAGGTCTCTCCCCACTGGCTCAGTTGTCTCAGGCTCCCTTTCGCAGCCCTTTCAACAAGCTGCACAAGGGAGCCCAAGGGAGCTGGGCCAATGGGGCAGAGGTCTGTGTCTGCTGGCTCAGCTCTCTTGGCTTCCCTTGCACTGCCTCTTTAAATGGGCTACATGAGGGAGCCCAAGACAGCTGGGACAGCGGGGTCTCTTTCTGCTGGCTCACCTGTACTCCAAGGAGCCCAGAGTATCTTCCATGGTATTTGATTTAAAAATCTATAATCTGTTTAACTAGTCAAGTCAAACTTTTGATGTGGCTCATATCCAAATACCTGTCTATAAGACAGCCAGTGTGGCGTAGCAGTTAACAGTGTTGAAAGGGACTGCACGAGGGAATCCAAGACAACTGAGCTGGCAGAGAGAGAGACCTCTGAACAGCCCTGAAGAGCCAAACTGAACAGCCCAACGTTCAGTAAATGTTTGGGGAACATGTGTTTCACCAAACATCACTTCCCGACCCCCAAACTGGCCCAAGTTCAGCCCAAATTTTGGCTTGTGAGACACTTCATGCCCATCCCTAACAGTAACTAAATGGAATCTCCATGTCTATAGAAAGTACATCTCTGAATACCAGTTGCTAGAAGAGAGGACACAGGGCCTCTGTACACTTATGAAGCACGCAAAATATTGTTAGGAGGAGGGAACACAAATGTCATTTTTAAAAATATTTTGGGGTAAGCAAAAGTAAACGTTCTGGCACCTAAAAAGCCAGAAAAGAAGGTGTCATACAAAATCAAGGAGCAGGTAATTTCAAAGGCAAGGTACCAACACTGAAAAAGCCCTTGTTTGATCCTGCTGAGATTCCCAAGGAGTGGGGCAATTTTTTCTGATCCCTTCCTGCCCTGGGAAAACTCATATTCCCCCTCAAGCTACTCCTGGGGCCCCCCACTCCCCAGGAGCAGCATTTCAGGGTGTGTTGGGGGCCTCCACAAGAGGGGAAGAGTTTGCAATACTCAGCCCACACATACAGAAATGTAGGCAGGATCCAAGTCTTGGTCTCTGGTTTCCATCTGCCACTATTCTGTATGTAAGGGTAGAAGGGCTTAGAAGAAAATATTTATTAAAATATTTCAGTTTTGCCCCTCAACAAATGCTGTTTCTTGAGCTGGCTAATAAAATACCAATACGTAACCATCACCAACAACAACAATTTTAAAAAGCAAAAGCACTGATAGTCTACAGGAGAAAACTACAAAATATTAGGACTCTCAAACATCAGGGGTGGGCACCATAGAATCAAATTAAACAAACCACCACACTCTAACAAAAAGAGTGAGGAAGAAATAGTTCATTTAAAGGGTTGGCGAGAGACTGACCTGGACCAGAAGGTAGTACTGTGAAGGAAACTTTATGTACAAGTAGCCTATTTTAAATATAACTTTCAAAACATTCAGCACAGATTAATGTAAACAAGACAGGGGGGTGTTTTGCGATTGACCCACAAAAGCAACACAAGCTATGTTTTTATATAAACAATATATATAACCCATGATGGCAGATCTTCTGGAATCTGAGATATTTACAGAGTGCAGGTCAGGAAAAAAATATTAGCATTGCAACAGAGAACAGTTTATCAGCAACCAAAAGACTTACAACAGTACAAAGCAAAATATATTTGCAGTCTGCTTAATGAAGCTATAAAATACTTGCCTAATCATTTTCTTTTCTCATAAAGTTAGACACCTGCCCCAAAAGTAGATAAAGCTGTATGAAAGCATACTTACTCCTCTTGATGACTGCTTTAATGGAAGACAGAGGGCCTTGGCTTGAAAAGTAAAAAAAGAAAACATCAGTACCATTGTCCAAGAAGAAAAAAAGACAAAAATAGCTCACAGGATGCAGAGCTGTAAAAAACATAAGATGCTCAAAATCACCTAGTACCGGTGAAATCATTTGTTTTGTTTTAGAGACAGGGGGAATTGCTTTTCCCATTTAAAAAAAACTTACTTGAACTGCTGCTGAGCATCTATCTACATTGTAACAAAAAGAAGCTAAAGTTGCTAAGTTGAAGGACTTACAGTTAACTAGCAATTCTTTTTTAAAGTACAATTATTTGCTTTTCATTGTATGTCAAAGTTCATATTGTGGGTTCTTTCCTTCCCTCTTATCCAATAAAAACTCTATGATACATTGATCTTGAACAATTGATACTAGTTGTTAATCACTTATCACCCAACAGATAAAAGGAGTAAAAAAGTTTTGCAACTGCTAGAGTTCTTTTTTGATCCCTGTCAGAAAGTAGAAAGGTAACTAAGTCATAGGAGTGAACTTGCAAACATGGTAAAATATGAAATATTTTGTGGGTTCCGTTGAAACATTGTTTCAACAGCTGCAATAAAATGTGTGCAATGAAAATATACTACTTATTTACTATGTTGAATCCAGCAGAAGAACCTCCTTGAAGTAACAGCCATGTGCATTGGGAGGTTGCAGTTCTGTGAGTGGAGCTCTACTGATGGCACAGGAAGAAGGAAACAATTTTGTTTCTTCCTCCTCCCCAAAGCAGCCTCCCAACACACATGACTATCACTCCACAGGAGTGCCACGTCTCTCAGAACTGAAAAAGACTGCTGGGAAAGCAGATGACTGCCAGTGCCCTCTGCTAATGGATCCCAGGATCGAACCCATTATTTGATACATATTTTTATCCTGCCCTTCCCTCAAGAAGCTCAGGGAGGAGTATATTTATTTTTCTCTCCTTTCCTCATAAACTAACAGCAATTCTGTAAGTCAGGCTCAAAGACTGACTCACCCAGAGTCACCCAGCGAGCTTCAAGGAAGACTGGAGATCTGACCTGGGTTGCCCGGATTCTAGTCCGACCTTCTAAGCACTACAACACACAGGGTCTCAACTTGCATGTGGCTAACAAAAGACACATGCAGATATGAGTATCACAGACAAAGAGACCATTGCCCATTCACACTTTGCTGAGTATCCTGGGTAACAAATACACCAAATCTGATTCCTTCAGAAATAAATCCTAAAGTTCACTGAACAATTACATGTGCATACAACTGTGATCTCAAATGTTCTAATAAAAATGAAGAACTAACCAAATTCCTTGTGGCCTATTACATCAGCCCAACTGTAAAATCTGATACTTTCTCTTCAACCACTCTTCATAAAACAAAGCACAATATAAATCATATCCCAGTTGCAATATGTAACGCAGCAAGCTTGCAATGGGCCACTTCCTGATGACTCTCCCATCTAACCTTACAACCTTACAAGTGTCAGGAATGCACAATGTAGTTATTTCTCAATTCTGCAGTCCTTTGTTTACTCCTATAATTAGTTTCCACATAGGATACACATACAGACTGCTGAGAACATCAGTCTGCTCTGTACCACTCACTGCTTTAGGAAGATTTCATCTAGCAAACACTGCTTTGAAAGAGGCTGTGAAAGGCTGATTTTAGAGGAACTGAGATAACAGGGGTGGAAACTAGTCAGAGGGTCAAAAATACTGATTTTACTGACCAAAATTCCAAAAAAACTGACCAAAAAAGAACCGGACAACAGCCTGCCATACCTGTGTCGGGCTGGGCACTGGAACACCCTAGACTGATTGTCCTGCATGATTTCAATGTCCATGTGGACGATGTGGCCTCCACTCAGGCAATAGACCTAGTGTCATCCGTGGTGGTGCTGAGACCCTCCCAATATGTAACGACTCACACTCACCGGGCCAGACACAATCTGATCTTCACAGAAGGGGTCACAGTGCACCGGATCACTGCCTTAGCAGTGCCATGGTCAGACCATCATACCCTGAAGGCCCATATGAATGTTTCACCCCAACTCTGCGGATCCAAATGGACCCTATGTGGCTTCAAATGGCCCTGCGGGATCCGATGCCCCCGGCGGCTCATTAGATGAGCTTGTGGAGGATTGGCACAGCTGACTCTCAGCAGCCATTGATGAGTTTGCTCCCCGACATCCTCTGCGCCCTCACTCTAGGCTGGCTCCTTGCTTTACCCAGGAGTTGCGGCTGATGAAGCGAAGGCTAAGATGGCTAGAGTGGCAGTAGCGGTGCACCTGCGACGAAGCTACAACAACATCTTATAGGACGTTTATGAGATCCTATGAAATGGCAATCAAAGCCACTGAGTATTATGTGGCCACGATTGTGTCTGCAAGCTCATGCCCAGCCCAATTATCTAGAATAATTTGGTCTATGACTGTTATGCCACAAGGCAAACCAAATGTTAGGGAATTGGACACTGGCTGTGAGGCCTTTGCGAGCTACTTTGCAGATAAAGTCCTGATGCTCTGCCGTGACCTCCCTGCCACAGTTGAGACAGTAAGTGAACTCGAGGCTCCATGCAAGTCTTCTAGTCAGGTTATGGATTATTTTAGTCCACTCAGCCTGGAGGAAGTTGACAAACTGCTCTTAACTGTACGCCCTACCACGTGCTGCCTTGACCCATGCCCATCATGGCTAATTAAAGCTGACCGTTTCGAGATGCCCTAAGGGAGATTATCAACAAGTCCCTCTCAGAGGGACAGTTCCCCAGGGCACTCAAGGAATCTGTGGTTTATCCCCTCCTGAAAAGGACATCTCTGGATCTGGCCGAATTGGCTAATTTCCGGCTGGTCTCCAATCTGCCCTATTTGGGCAAAATAATTGAGAGGGCCATGGCAATTCAACTACAGAGCTTTTTGGATGACACTTCCATTCTAAATCCTTTCCAGTCCGGTTTCTGCCCAGGCCACGGGACAGAGACAGCACTGGTCGCCCTCACAGATGACCTCCGGAGGCATCTGGATTGGGACAGACTGGCAGTGATGTTGCTGTTGGACATGTCGGCAGCATTCGACATGGTCGACCATCAGTTACTGATCCACCACTTCGCCGACACTGGAGTCCAGGGACCTGCCTTGCAATGGCTGGCTTCCTTCCTTCAGGGTTGGGGACAAAGGGTGGTGCTAGGGGAGCAGCTATCCCAAAGGGACCCACTGATTTGTGGAGTGCCCCAAGGGGCGTTGCTGTCCCCAATGCTATTTAACATCTACATGTGCCCCCTTGCCCAGATTGCCCAGGGCCATGGTGTGGGAAGTCACCAGTATGCAGATGACACCCAGCTCTATCAGTTGTTGGGTAGCCAGTCTGACTCTACAACAGAAAATCTGGACCGGGCATTGCAAACTGTGGCTGGTTGGCCCAACTGAAATTGAATCCGACGAAGACGGAGGTCCTGTGCCTGAACCGGGGTGGCCTGAGGGTAGGGATCCTACTTCTGACCTTTGATGGGGCACCATTGGTGCCAGTGCCGGAGGTTAGAAGCTTAGGAGTGCTCCTGGATGCCTCAGTAACAATGGAGGCCCAGGTAGCAGCCATTGCAAAATCAGCCTTTTACCACCTCCAGCTGATTAGGCAGTTGGTTCCCTTCCTCGAATGCAACTACTTGGCGACAGCGAGCCATGCAATGGTCACCTCAAGACTGGACTACTGTAATGCTCACATCTGAATATATGCAAAACATACGGTGCTTATAGGTCTAAATCACATCCTCAGTTTTCAGACTTTAATAAGAAAGGCACTCCTAACCATGTGAAGCAAAAAAAAAAAAAAATCACCCAAATCCTCCAACCAAGTCAGGCAGCCTGGTTAGAAACAAAGATCTGACATACAAGGGTAAAAAGAAGAATTGCCTTCAAAGCAATGCAGCTGGGTTAAATTTTCAACAACATGGCACAATTCATGGATTTAGAGTCTCTGTCTCAAATAATCAGTGCAAATGCAGCATTTCAGTCTTTTCATAAAGACAGGTTTTCCTAAGGGGAATTTTGATTTTCTAATACTCAGAATGACTGAGTCTGGCTACATCTAATTCTACTATAATAAAATATATATTAATGATTAATTGCTCTCAAAATCTTTTTGTCAATCATGGGAAGCATGCAAGATTGCTGGGTATCAACATTTGTCCAAAAATACTATGTGATTATTCTTATCCCTTGCATCCCCAGTTCAAAGTATGCAGGCTCTCCTCTGCAGTTACAAAAAATCTATTGGAGAACACAGGTACAGCCCTCAACCAGGGCTGAAAATTTGTGTGGCTGTCCCTCTCTTCCTTTCCACCTAGCAAAAGTGCTGTGATGGGTTCAGGGCCAGTGGGAGAATTTTTTCTCTCTCCCACCTTCAGTTCATAACTTGTCTTTGGAGCACCTCATGCACAAGGGATAAGCTTGTTTGATTAGGCTGCCCCCATGATCTAAAGCTGAAGAGAACGGGAAGGAGATTCTCTTTCATCTTTTGGCACCAAAGTCACTGTAGAGGTTGGCAAGGTGACGCCATACAAGCCCAGTACTACAACCAAAGAACTCTTCAGATATGGTACCATATGGTCTTCAGCTGAGAAACAGAGGTAGGGGAAAGGGAGGCTAAAATAAGCCCTCCTCTCTCTGTCCTGTATCTCTACACATGACACAGAGCCTGGTAGTACAATCTGAAATGGGACAATGGACAGCTTTGGACAACTAGAGGGGAACAGCTAGATTTGAGTCCAGAAGCACCTTTGAAACCAACAAGATTTGGGGACAGTGCTCCCTTCAACAGATACAAGCTTGTGGAGAATGTCACTTGTAAATGCTTCCCTACAAGAGAAAAAGTAGCATAAAACAGATAAGGCTGAACTAGTTCTTTACCATCCTGTCCTAGTCTCAGTCATAGTTCTTCCCTTGTGCACCTTGGCTGTCCATACCAAAGCAGAAGCTAGCACTGCTCACACTATGGCCCAATCTGCATCTAGCGTTTGCTCCGCTGTTTT